TTTGTGTTAGTCATTTTGGCAAATTACTGGAAGATGGCGGTTCCGGCCGAAAGGAAGCTCTCGGCAGAATATTAACAACTGTACAGTGTGACTAGGGAAGTGCGCCCAGACTGATGGCAACATCTAGAACACTCCATGTTAGAAGAGTTAAGGGAACTACTGATGCTTGCTTGGGAGGGTGGAAATCAAGAGTGAGGGGAAGAGGATCGGCAGCACTAGAACTGTGGAGGAAAGTGTGTACTGATCAGTGTGGGCAGATATAGGTCCTGTGGGTGTATTATCATAAGCAGCTTTCTAGCTATCAGAGCTGTGTGATGGTGTCAATTATTGTTCAAGCAAAGATCCTGTAAAGAGAGCATGTATGTTTAATTAGGATACTTGTAAAAATCTTACAACTTTGAGTTTGAAAGGGAGCTATATAGATTTTGTTTTTCTAATACTGTAGATTGAATCCAGGGCTTTCACATTGAGCTGCATGCCCAGCATTTTTATTTATTATTTTGAGAAAGGGTCTTGCCCAGACTGGGTTCAAACTTGGATTCTCCTGCCTCAGCCTCCCAAGAGTGATAGGATTATATGTGTGCACCATCACCACCACACTGCTGCTACAAAGAAATTTTAAAGATACTCCACAGTCATACTTCTGTTCTTTATCACTTGAAGGTACAATTAACAAGAATTTTTGCTTGCTTCTTTGTTTTTGTTGTTGTTTCTTTTTTTATTTTTATGTGTTTAGGGCAGGCTCTACAGATTCTGCAGGGTTACACTACACAGATCAAACTTGTAGTGATTCTCCTGTTTTCAGCCTCCCAAGGGCTGGGGTTATAGGTGTATGCCACCACACCCAGTCTCATTCCCACTTTCAGTACACCCTGGGGGCGGGACCCACATGCCTGGGATCAAACTCTGGCCACTGCGCAGCTCTGCCTAAGGCTTCTTTGTTTTTTGATACAGATTCTCACTATGTGGCTCCGTCTGCCCTTGAACTCACAGGCTGGCCCAGCTGAGGCTCAAAGTCATGTCATCCTTTATCGCTGAGCCTGGAATTACAGCAGGCATCACCAAACCCAGCTTAAAAGACACTTCTGAATAACTATGTTTGCAGTGGACTTTAGGATACAGAAATAAATAAGCTCAAGAAGCTCAATCTAGTATTGTGCATTTCAGTTTTTATGTAATAAATAGTAGCTACTTTGTAGAGTACTTTTAAGAAAAAACTAAAGACCTGCATGTGCAAACTTTATATTGTCTCCTTAGTGTGAGAATCTGAAAGAAAAAATGGAATGGGTACAGTAGATACTGGGAAAAGGGAATGAACTTACTCAAAAAGAGTTACTGAGTTGAGAAGGACAAGAGAGAGATGGGGGTGAGATGTATCTATGTATGTAAGCAGGATGGTTTGGACAACTGTACTGTACATTTCTACTGGTTTATGGAAATAAGCAAATAATAGTTCGCTTTGTCTCCTTTTTTCTATTGATTTTACTTTTTTCCTCTTAATTTCTTATACATTTCTTTCTTTTTTTCTTCTCCCAATTTTATATACACATATCTGGTAACATGAATAACTGGTTGGAAGATAACACTATGTATTATAACAAAGACTGTGAAAGTCATATTACTTTAAGTGAAATTCTGCTCACTTATAATTTTTTCTGCTTTTATTCTAATTTGTACACTTTAAAAAATAAAATTGTTAAAAAATAAAATTGTTTTAAACATTAAAAAAAGGAAAAACTGATTTAATATTTGTGGCATTTAGTAAGTGCTAAAGAGAGGTGATAATTTTTTCACATATCAAAATGTTTACATAGTTTTCCTCAATAGAGACCATGGCACTTGAGCCACACAGAAGTCACTTAACTGTATGATTTAGTTAGAGCTAGATGGAGACATGAGCTAGATAAAGATTGGTAATTATAGATTAATGTCCTATAAATGCAGTGAGCCATCACTTGAAACAATTCTCTTCAGTAGAATATAAAGGATTCTGTTGATTTCCCTGCTGTTCACAATAAACATTTCTCTCTGAACTTGGAACAAATGCTGTTTCCTCCTAGAAGTCTTACCTTCCTTCACTCTGAACAACCCTCCTGCTTATCTGAACCTGCTTGTGACACTTTGCACAGTTAGCATTGTGTTCGTGTCTTGTCTTCCAGTAGACTGTAAATGCACAAAGGAGACTATTTCTCATTTTTCTCCATAATGTCCTACCTAGCTCATGTGAGCCACAGACACTGAATTTCAGATTTTCTAGTAGCAACATGGGCTAGCCACATTTCAGGTATTCGTAGCCACTTAACTAAGAATGCTATACTGGACAGCAGAGGCCTAGCACATTATAGATGACTAGAAAATGAACATCCCAAGACACACTTTCAAAAATAGTCTCTTTTTCTCCCCAACAGATTACCATGGCTGCAGGAGTTGTGCCTCCCAGTGAACAACCGTATTCCACATTGGTGAATAACAGTGGGTATGATGCAAACATGAAAGGTAATATTGCTTTGATATATTTTTATCTCCTTGTGCCACCTAGTATTTAATACGAGGAGGTGTGTGAATGAATGTGAAAGGCTCTATTTTTCATCGGGCAATGCTAAGATCCAGGTGTTATTAAAGCTTTTGTTGATTTCTGCCTTGCCACTTTGGCCTTTTTAAAAGGGAAGTTTCAAACATGTTTGTTTCCTGCATTATTATTTTAGACTGAGATTGTGCCTGTGCTCCTATCATCAGATGCCTACTTGTGAATCACCTATTCATTTCTTCCTCCTTCAGTTTCTTGCAAGTGCCACTTATGAAGCACATTCAGAGCACCAGAGCCCTACTTCTCCCAGTGTTATTTTCACTCTGACGTCACCTTCCCACACAGTTTTCTTATTTCTACACCTCATGCAAAGAAGCATGCTATGACTTGGACTCCTACTGTCTGTCTCATTTATTCTTCACTGCATTGCATTTCTGAGCTGAGAGCTGCCCTGATTCCTTGTTGGCCATTAGTCAGGTTTCTGTCACTGTGCCAAGATACCTGAGACAAGTCCCCCTAAAGGAGGAAAGGTTTATTTTGGCTCTTGGTTACAGAGGTTTCAGTCTGTGGTTAGTTGGCCTCTGGCCTCAGCTGTGGTGAGGCAGTATCTTACAGCAGAAGAAACTGCTCACCTCAAGGAGTCCGTGGCTAACTACTTTCCACTAGGCCCTACATGCTACCGTTCCACCACTTTCTGTCAGCAGCCCCAGTTGACAGCCAGGCCTAAAGTACATGACCCTTCATGGAACAGTTCATATCTAAACCCTTCATTGGCCTTGTTGCTCCCACCTATGTTAGCCAGGAGAAACATTTGAGTGATTTCACTTGATGTTACTCTGCTGGCATTGTTTTCTAACTCTCCACTCTGGGTTTTGCCTGTGTTCCTTTAGTCCTCCTGTCTAGGAACTTCACAGTATTTCTTCTCAAGGTATGGATTATATGATGAAATATTAAACAAGAAAGAGTCTAAAGGGATTTATAGTTCAGGGCTCACTGGGAACAGTTTGTTCTAGTTACTTTTGTGTTTGTTGGAATCTGGCTACTCCACCAGGAGGAGCTCTCTTTCATCCATTGTTGGCCTTGGCTAAATTCAAAGAGGATCTTTTTTTTTTTTTTTTTTTTTGGCAGAACCAGGGATTGAACTCAGGCCCTTGCGCTTGCTAGGAAAGCGCTTATTCCACTGAGCCATCTCCCCGGCCCGCAAAGAGGATCTTTGTAGATCCTTTTCCATCAGCCTTCTGTGTCTGACTGTAGGAAAACTAATACTGATAACTGCCATTTGTGGACAGCTTTTAGGCCCAAATGTACTGTTAGTTTTTCTGGCCTTAGAGGAAATTGCTCTTAAATCCAATGTAGTAATGATGTCTACTTGTAGAATATTCTTTTCCCCAAGCAACACTCCACCATGTGTATAATTAGTCTGAGAAGACTTTTTCCTGCTTCTTTTGTCAGAATGTTACATCTTTCTTGGTGTTTTCTGCCGAGTTTCTATTGGCTTTGGAATGGCACAACTCTTTGTTGTATAGGAGAGCCTTGTGCAGTCCAGTGGTGTTTCCAGGTTCCAAAGACAACCAGAAAAACCCTAGACAATTCCAAATAACCCAAGAAAGTTTCTGTTACCTCTTTTGTGATGCACTGGGTAAGCTGATGTTTATCTTTCCCCCAAAATTATCCTTTTTAAATAAAAATCTCTTTTATGTAAATACAGCTAACTTTAATAAGGAAATAATTTTAAAAATGTATTTCATATCTTTCTTAAAATGTATCTCATCTGTAAGATAGTTATGTTTTATTAGGTTTTAGAGTAGGAAGTATTTTTTTAGTGTTTTCTAATGAATTCGTGGAAAAACTTATCAGTAGACTACTTAAAAATTTATTTTTACAGGAAAATAGAAAATCAGCAGGAACTACATTTGAAATGAGACAGACCTAGATTTAAATGTTGGTTTTACCGCTTGATGAAAAGCAAAAAAACAAAAAAAGCAAATCATTTTTGTTATGAAGAATTTGAAACATTCACAAAATATACAGAGTAAAATAAAGACCTCCACATCCACATTCATCACCCCCCGACACTGATATGTACCATCCCCATGTGTATATCATCTCTCAATCACATAGTGTCACCTTTCCTCAGCAGTCCCTCATTTCATCTGCATCAGATTACTTTGGAGCTAACTATACTCACTGGTATTTTATTTGTTAAATAACCATATTATCTTTACCACAGTCAAAATAATTAATAATAATTAGTTAATGTCATTAAATATCTGACGTGTTCAAATTTCTAATTATTTCCTGTTTATATCAGTTATATTTGCATACAACATTTATACTGGTATCCAAAATACCTCATTATATTGTCATCATTTGCTATCCAGCTTGTTTCTTAAACTTGTGTTTCAGGTCTTTTTCCTTTGTTTATTAGTTGAACAAATCTGGCTTTTGGCCTTGTACATCCTGCCACCATGTGTCTTTAGCTGATTTTATCTATATGGAATTTTCATTGTATTAATAGACATACATATAGAATCAATTCAGATTTATTTGAATTGGCAAGAATATTTCATAGGCTGCTGTTTGGGGAAACTTGGGGCTTTGTAAATAAAACTACTCTGACCATTTGTGTGCAAATTTTTGTGTGAAAATTAGTTTTTCTTACTTTGGAATAAATGCTTAAGAATATGCTTCCTATGTCATATGTGACAGTTGTACATTTAATTTTATGTGAAACTGTCAGCTTGTTTTCCTGATAGTATCATTTTCCATTCTTACCAGCAACATGAGTGATGAGGTTCTATGCTTCTTCACCAGATAAGGTGTTATCATTTTAGCCATTCGAGCAGGCCTATGGTGATGTCTCTGGGTTATCAATTCTCATTTTTCTAATGGCTAATGATAACTTCCTTATGCGTATATCTATCCCCTGTATATTCTCTTATTTGTCCACATTGTTTTCACCATGTGGAATTTTTTCTTTTCTTATTATTGATTATTAGGAATTCTTAAACAGACTAGATATTAGTTCTTTTAGTTATTTCTGTGACGTGCTTTTTGCTAATATATCCTCCTGGTGTGTACCTTACCTTTTGTTGTTCTTCACATGATCTCTTTCTGAGAAAAAGTTTTAATTTTCATGAAGTCTAGTTTTTCTGAGTTTACTTTGATGTCAAATCTAAAGTGCCCTGCCTTTCCTAGTGTCCTAAAGCTGCTTGAAGGTGTTGTAGGTTCTTTGTGTTGTTTCCTTTATCTATGTCTGTTCCTGTAATAACCACCCTCTTCTGATTGCAGTAGAATGATTATTTGCCCTTCTGTGTCCTTTTCAAAATCATTTTAGCTAGCACTTGTGCCTTTAGATACAAATTTTAGAATAATCTTATCTTTATCAACCCAAAACCTTGCTAGGATTTTGATAAGAATTAAAGGTATAGGGCCAGCCAGATAGCTCAGTGGACTAAGGCGCCTGCTTAGGCAGAAGCAGAGACTGGAGTTCAATTTCATTGCCCCCAGGTGGCAAGACAGCAACTGAGACTGGGTGTGGTAGAGCACACTAGTAATCCTAGCACTTGGGAGGCTGAAAACAGGAGGATCACTACGAGTCTGATCTGTGTAGTGAGACCCTGTAGACCCTGTGCTAAATACAAAAAAAAGGAAAAGTCCTATAAATCAATTTGATAAGATTGCTGTCTTTACTATGTTGACACTTCCAATCCATGATGATAATGTTTTTCCATTTATTTAGAGTTTTGATTTTTTTTTTTTAAACATCAGATTTTAAAACTTTTGACATAGAGATCTGTACTCTTGTTTGGGTTTTATCCATTTGCTTATGTCATCTCCATCCTGCCCTGCTTTGCAGCAGTCTTACTGAGTCCTTAAATATGCCTACAATCAACTGTCATTCTCCTGCCTCAACTTCCCAGGGTGCTGGGGTTACAGGTACGTGCCACTATGCCCAGCTCCAGATGTATTTGTAAATTTACACATAAGCATCTTACTTTTCTGGTATTATGCTTTTAATTGTAATTTTCATAGTTATTTATATGTGTTTGATTTTTATGTTGTCCTTGTACCTAACAATCTTACTTGAACCAACCGACCAATTCTAGGCGGTTTTGAAGATTTTTTTGTTCTTTTCTGTGTAAACAATAGTTTTTTTTTTTTTAATAAGGACAGTTTAATTTCTTCCTTTCCAGTCTGTATATCATTTCTTTTTTCTTGCTTACTGTAGTTGTATAGAATTTCTCCTAAGCAGGAGAACAATAGAACAGAGAACAGATCTCCTTGACTTCTTGCTTTTAGACTATAGCATTCAGCCTTTTACTTTGTACTATGATGTTAGCAGTTTTCTGTAAATGTTCTGTAGCAAGTTGTATTATTTCTTCAGCCAGGGACATAGCTCATTAGAATAAGCATTTACTGGGCAAGCGCATGGTCCTGAGTTCAGTCCCTGGTACCAAAATAATAAAATAAAGTTAAATTTTAAAAAAGGTGGGGGTTCAAGGAGATAGCTCAGTAGAATAAATGCTTGCCTGGCAAGTGCAAGGGTCTGAGTTCAATCCCCAGTTCTGCCTAAATAAATAAAATATTATTTCTTTATTTTTAACAAGTTTTTATTGTGAATGAGTGTTTTATTAGAAATAACTTTATTGAGAAACAAATAGCAATGATACATTTTCAAAACTGATTACTAGCACAGTTTCAATAATTAATGCATTGCATATTGTTGTCTTCATAGTTATTCATTGTACAAGATGCAGACATGATATCCTGTCCACAAACACTATTAGAACAAATCTCTCTATTCATTGAATTAAGAGAATGTAGTTGTATAAGTATCTCCTTTTCTGTTTAGTTTTGTCAGAAAAAGGGTATTCCATTGTCATTTAAATATTGTAGGTGCGTGAATTCATCAAAATATTCAAATATAGTTCAGTAGTCCATAATAGTAGTGGGTTTTCCATAGGAC